CCTGGATGCTCATACTGGTTCCTACATATTCTACGAAGATCTTTATCGGTCAAACCGCATAACAACATACGTTGTTCCCTTTGTCATCGGTACGTTACTTGCCCGAGATTCGATCGTCGGTATCTCAATACCTAGTTCAATCTCATTACCGGCAAGTCTCTTTACTCGTTCCGTAATGTTACATCCCATACTAACTCATTAGCTACATTGCTTGCAAGGCTTATTATGATGTACATTACCGAGAGGGCCCAGAGATACCTCTCCGACAATCAGAGTGACAAATCCTAATCTTGATCCATGCCAACTCAACAAACACCATCGGAGACACCTGTAAAGCATCTTTATAATCACCCAGTTACGTTGTGACGTTTGGTAGCACACAAAGTGTTCCTCCGGTATTCGGGAGTTGCATGATCTCATAGTCATAGGAACATGTATAGTTATGGAGAAAGCAATAGCAACAAACTAAACGATCATCGTGCTAAGCTAACGGATGGGTCAAGTCAATCATATCATTCTCTAATGATGTGATCCCGTTAATCAAATGACAACTCATGTCTATGGTTAGGAAACATAACCATCATTGATTCAACGAGCTAGTCAAGTAGAGGCAAACTAGTGACACTCTGTTTGTCTATGTATTCACACATGTACTAAGTTTTCGGTTAATACAATTCTAGCATGAATAATAAACATTTACCATGATATAAGGAAATATAAATAACAACTTTATTATTGCCTCTAGGGCATATTTCCTTCATGCCGACCCGGAAAACACGTTTGTAGTTCGCGGAAAAATGGCTTTGCAGGCCGGTGCGGGCGGCCACAGAGTCAGACCCCGCATAACGGACCAGTATAAAAGGATATTCACGGAATATGCTCTTTTACGGGTCGGCTTTGCGGGGTCTGCTCGGGCGCCGCTCCTGCCGGCCCGCAAATATTAATGCCACTCCATAATACAACAATCATCTACTTTACAAATAATTATTCGGAAAAAATATCAATACGACATCACAATACAACAATCATCCACATTACAAATAATTATTCAAATCATCAAAGCAAACTAAATAATTCAATATAAAACTTGTCCCGAATACAAATCACACATGAATTAAATGAAAATGAATAGAAAAATGAGTTTTGTTACTGTCCAGCCCTTTGACAATGGTGCTCAATGAGATCCTCCTGAAGCTAAAAGTGGGTGTTTGCATTTTCAATCTCCTTGTAGGTATGAACAAAAGCTCTAATGCGGTTAGGGTCTCTAACTGGTTTCACACGGCTACCCGCATTATCATAGAAGAACTCCAAGTTCATGTCTCTCTCATCTTCGAAAATCATATTGTGAAGAATAACGCATCATGTCATGATGTTTTTCAAAGTCCGCTTGTCCCAAAAACGAGTAGGACCACGAACAATGGCAAACCTAGATTGCAAAACCCCAAATGCTCTTTCAATATCTTTTTGGGCCGTCTCTTGCACCCTTGCAAATTCACATTGTTTCCTAGTTGTGGGTTCTTTGATGCTCTTGAAAAATGTGCACCAAGGAGGGTATATACCACCTGCAAGACAGTACGCATTTGTGTATTCATGCACACTGATAGTGTAGGTGCAAGCAGGAGCATCACCACTAGCTAGCCTAGCAAACAAATGAGACCGTTGCAACACACTGATATCATTGAGAGTATCCGGCATACAAAAAAAAGCAATGCCAAATCCATAAATCCTCGGATGCTATGGCCTCTAGCACAATTGTGGCATCACGAGACTTGCCACAATACATTCTGTGCCATGCCTTCGGGCAATTTTGTCAAGTCCAATGCATACAGTCAATACTACCTAGCATGCCAAGCCAACCTCTTCTCTCATTAGATGCCATAATTTTTTTGTGTCTTCCTCGCTGGGTGTCCAAAGATATTCAGGACCAAAGACACGGGCGATCACTTTGGCAAACCTACGCACTGACTCAATTGTGGTATCTTCACCAACGCGAAGGTACTCATCGGCATAGTCAGCCGGAATGCCGTATGCAACTACCCTCATAGCTGTCGAGATTTTCTGATATGCACTAAATCCCTTCAAGCCCGCGACATTTCTTCTTTGAGTAAAATACCGACAATTGGCCTCGCAAGCTTGAACAATTTTCACAAAAAGAGATTGGCACATTTGGTACCTTCTCCGGAAGAGGTGCGGCGGGTATGTTGGATTCTCCGCGAAGTAATCTTGCATCAACATCTTGTTTCTGAGATGGCGATTTCGAGGAATGCAAAGACGACCGACAGTCGATCCTCGCCGCCTCTTTTGGTTCTCATCTTCGTGCTCCTTCACGGCAAGGGCCATCACCAATGTCTGCTGGCGATAGTTGGCAAGCAGCGTCTCAACATCCGAGTTGTCCGAATCGGACGAATCGTCGAGCAAAAACTTCTTGCACGGGCTCAATTCCATCTAAATTCACAAAAAACGCACACCGCGTTAACCGACTATGCATACCATTCGGCACAAACGCAACTAAAAACTCACCGGCGGCTCGGGGCGGTGGCTCTCCGGCGGCGACGGCGACTAGGGGCGGCTCGGCTCGGCGGATCCGGGGGAGGGGGGTGCAGCAGCTCGGTGGAAGACGGTAGGGGCGTCCCCGCGGCGCGATTCCACCCGCGGATTTGGCCGGAATCGCCAGCGGCGGACGGACGGAACCAATGGCTGGCGGCGGCGGAAGGAGGTGGGGAAAAGGCGCGGGCTGAAATATCCCTCCCGCCAACCGCTTTCCTGGGATAAGGGGCACCGTAGGGGCGAGACGGAAACCAGCGTATTCGCGGGTTGGGGACGAGATTTTGTCACGCCCCTCAAAAATATTTACGGGTCGGACGCGTTTGCGGGGTCTGGTCGGGCAGAATTTTTCGCGTCAACCCATATATTGACGGTTATTTTGCGGGTCAGGTCTTTTTACGGGTCTGCTAGAGATGCTCTAATCTAGGTGCAACGAGCTTGAGACCAGGGCAGGGACATGTCCGTGAATCCAGGTAGGCAACCAAGCAATGTCCGGGCACATCTCATGGATGGTCTCAGGCCAGGCGGATTTGTCCCAGGATTGCAACCAAACTGACCCTCAATGCGCCAGAGGTGACTTGACCCGCGCGAGGACGACGTACTCGTTCATGGCCGTGCGGTGCACAATAGTGTTTTTTTGCGGGATAATACTTGTATTACTCAATCATCCAAGAATTACAATCACGACCGACAATGTCTAGGAGTTCTTCTGGACCGGGTCCAAGCCACACAACCGTTCGGCATCATGATCGTCCAAAATTTGCCAAGAAATGACTAGCATTATTTTTGCTACGAACAATATGAGTAATACAAGAATTACGCTCGATCAAAAGATTTTTGATCTCCTTTATCATAAAGGCATATTTTGATCTATTTGTTTCTGTACTTTGTACCATGTTCACTGCTTGTAGACTGTCTGATTCGACATCGATAGGTAGATTGCTCCATTGTAGCGCAAGCAAAAGGCCCTCCCGAATGCCCATAATCTCCATCTCAAGCACATCATCACAAGTAAACAAATATCTGCATGAACTAAAAATGATTCTGCCTCTGTTGTCTCTTAAAATCATACCTGTACCTGCTACACCATTCAGAACAGATCCGTCGGTATTCAACTTCACCCGGCCAGCCGATGGGGCAGCCCAAGAACTAAAGTCCAGTTGCCTTATATTGCATGAAGGAGCAGCCAAAGGGAAGCACACCTGGGCTGGGTACTCACCCTTTGAGTGGTCTGCCAGCGGGTCTGAAGCAATTGAGTTTAGCGAGGCGACGTAACTAGCAAGAAAGCGGCAGGAGACATCCACTGGTGGTGCAGGTTTGTTATGAACCAACTCATTTCGGATGTGCCATATCCGCCAGAGAAGCATCATGAACCGTAGCCGGACAGGTTCGCACAACTCTGAAGTTATTTGAACAAACCATTCCCTTCCTGTAGGCAGTATTTTTGTAACATCTGGGAGATCCCATTCAGCAGGCATTGCTTTCCAAAGACGTTTTGCATTAATGCAAGAGCAAAAGGTATGGAAGGAATCTTCCTCTTCACAGCTACAAATCGGACACATAGCACTTGTTTCCAGATTTCTTTTCTGTTTGTTCTTCCAAGTAGCAAGAGAGTCTGTAGCTAATCTTCATGCAAAATTCAGTACTTTAGGCGGAGCCGGAGTGGACCAGATACACTTCCAGCCATCCCGAGCTCCATCTGGGTGCCTACTGGAGGAAGCAACAGCACCGTTCATCGTCTCATTAGACGCAAGTCTGTAAGCACTACGTACTGAAAAGACGCCCGATCTTTCTGGCGCCTAGGCAAGGAAGTCGTCACCAACCCGGGAAGAAGGCCGGATTTTCAAGATTTCACATATGTCCACAGAGCGGCACTGTCGGCCCTCGCGTCGATGCCGCTGGATGCCGGGGGTGAGTCACAGAGTCAGAGCTGACCCGGACGACGGCGCGAGGACGTCGTGGCATGCATCGGTCCCTGTGCCGATGCTGGAGGCGAGTCGGCTGACCAGAAAGGAGGACGCTGCTGCATGCATATATAGCAGCCGTGGTTCGGCGGCGAAAGGAGATGCCCGGGGCCGAGAGCCGACGGTGCGCTGCTCATTAGCTAGCTAGCGGTAGCACAGCCTGCCTCGAGCGGCCACTGAAGTGGACACAAGAAAATACGCACAAACCCATCCAAAGACTCAGAAAAGTACGGGGCACTTGGTATTTTTTTGCTGGAAAAAAGACGCGGGGGAGAAGATTTAATCTGATCGTTGGATGGAGAATGGACGCAGGGGAGCACGGGGGGCAGCATTAGGCAAGCCCCGTCCAAACTTACCGTGCCTGCCACGACTGTCGAACCACACCAGGGAATATATAACCGAGCCGAAGCGGGCGAGACCCGACCCGACAAAACCCACACCAAAACCCCCACGTTCGCCGCCTCTATTCCCGGAACCCCATCGCCGTCGGCCATGGCGGCGACGCAGCCGTCGGCGGACGTGGAGGGCGCGCTCCTCGCCCACCTCAACGCCAACGGCGAGATACCCGACTCCCGCTCCTTCGCCTCCTCCCTCGGCGTCCCGCACAAGGACGTCGAGGACGTCATCAAGAGGCTACGCGCCTTCCACATCATCGAGAGCACGGTACGGCACCCTCTGCTTCGCGTCGTCCCTGCCTTCCCCGAGTTGTTCTCCCGAGACCTGACGAGCCGTGCTTGCTTTCCTGCCCGCAGGACATCACCAGGGAGGCGTGGGTGCTCACCGACGAGGCCAAGGGCTACGCCGCCGGGGGCTCCCCCGAGGTGCACCTCGTCGCGGCCATCCCGCCCGAGGGTGCCTCCAGGGCCGCGCTCGAGGTGAGTTCCCTCTCTGCTCCCTTTAGGAGGCGCTCGGTTCGAGCCGATAGTTTCTGCTCCGGGGATGATCTCTGACGCCCAGAGTGCTGCATTGCAGGAGGAATTCGGGGACGTCTTCGATATTGCACGGAAGGCTGCCGCCAAGAACAAGTGGATTAGATTTGAGAACGACCTCGTGCTGAGAACGGTATAGAGCTGAGCTCGTTTCGTCTCTTCTCTTTGTTGTCGTCGGAGAGATATAGAGCTCGGTTCAGTGTGTATTTGTATTGGAAACTTGCCTGGCATGTTCTCAACTTGCCAGTGTGTGGGTTGTAGATGTAGAAAACAATTGCCTCATCATCATAGTTCAACTATTTCAATGTGCAATGGTTACATCTATGTTCATTGAAGGTCTCTGGGCGTGCGTGCGTGCCTTTATCTGTCTTGAGCTTTGGCATGACATTGTGTAATTTCTTTTCGTTTTATTCAGGTTGAGGATGCCAGGGATGAGTTGCAAGAGCTGCTTAAAAGAGTGGAGAATGGGGAGGTTGGTGTTGCTTATTGCTTGTTGTTCCTCCTATATTTTGCATTTCCACTTGGAACCATTTACTGGATTGTGTGGCATGGCACAATTATTTCATGTAGGTCTTTCATGTAGGTTGTTCCTGATCCAAGAAAGGAGTTGGAGAGAAGAAAGCTTGTAACAAAAGAGTAAGTATCTGTTTTGAAGATATCTCTTTTACAGTTTCAGTAAATGCTAGCCAAGTACAGTATCAAATAGTCGATTATCCCCAACTTTTACACCTGCTTCGCTGTTTTTCAGAAAAACTATTTGGTATTCACTGAAGAAGGGACCTGAATTTGTTGTAAAGAGAAAAACATTGGCTACCAATGTGACACGAGAACATCTCAAGAGGTAATTTGATGTCACTTCTCTCAAGCTAATTTCCAAAATTGATCAGCAAACCTCTGCTTGTTGACTGTAAACTATAATGTACCATGAGCAATTGAAGACTACATAGAAGACTCCTCATTGCCTTTTCTCTTGTAAATAGCCCAGCTGTACTTATCCTATCTGTGGAAGGCTACATTAAACTTATTGTTATGTTAAAATCGACTTTTAATAACATCTATTATGTGTGTACCTATTAATGGATAGCAGTAGCAGACTTCTGATATATTTCCCTTTTAAATGTTTTTTCTTTCCTAATAAAGTGGCGACTGGAAGGATCTGGAATTTAAAGATTATAACTATGGAGCCCAAGGACAACCTATTGCGATAGGATATAGTCAACCCTTGTTGGAGGTACTTCAAATCTTTACGGTGTTCCGTTTTTTCATACAGCTTTATCTGATAAACCAGATAAATTATAACTGTTATTTCGTGGATTTTCTTCAGGTCCGTGAAGCAATCCAGAACATTTTTCTTGAGATGGGGTAAGTACAAATATTTTGGTCATGATATTTGCAGTTCAAGGCAATATTCAGAAAATGGATTAATTCATTTTATTGCTTGATGTAACAGGTTCAGTGAGATGCCTACAAACATGTATGTAGAGAGCAGGTAAAATACAAAAAAAGACAAGACATAGTTTTTTCTGTTCTCATACCTGTTTGTTGTCAATTTCTTGTACTGGTAGATCTTCTCTACAAACTTGAAGTTATTTTAGGTTTTAGGATTGACTGATAGATTGGTGACAACACCGTATTATGAGTATATGACAAGACAATGTAGTGTATAGCATATCATAGTTTCCTAGATAAAGATCCATATATTGTAAAAAAAAATAAAGATCCATATACTATTTATAACACATTATGTATGGTTGTCTTTCCTTTGGTAGCTTCTGGAATTTCGATGCACTGTTCCAGCCACAACAGCATCCTGCTCGTGATTCGCACGATACATTTTTCCTCAAAGGTAAAGGTTATGCTACTTCTGTTCAGCCAACAGTTGGATTTAAACATATTTAATCAATCAATTTTTTTGCAGCCCCTGCTACAACAACACAATTACCTGATGACTATCTTGAGAAAGTGAATCAAGTCCATCAATCTGGTGGTTATGGTTCCAAAGGGTATGTTGTGGTGTCTTTGCTGCAGTTTAGTCAAAGGGTTTTTAATTTGAGGTTGCTGTCTGCAGATATGGTTATGATTGGAAGCGAGACGAGGCGGAGAAAAACCTGCTTCGTACTCACACAACTGCAGTTTCCGCAAGGATGCTATACAAGCTAGCACAGGAGGTATAGCAATTAAGTGTTGCTTATTTTATCTATGTAATTCCATTGTAGCTTATATTGTCATAGTTTGACTAAATTAGTGTAGGCGATATCAGTTTTTTTTTTCTGTTCTGTTGAATGGTTCATGAGGTCTGTTTTTCTTGACAAACCACCATGGTTGTTCAGGAACATTTTGCTCCTAAGAGATACTATTCTATTGATCGTGTTTTCCGGAATGAAGCTGTGGACCGAACTCATCTTGCAGAATTCCACCAGATAGAAGGTAACCATTCTCTTGTTTCTTTTCTATGGGGTGTTCAATTGATTGATATTTAGTTCATATCTTGGGTGTCACACACACATAACCCTTTTAACAAGGAAGCTACTTACAATGCTTCTGATTTCAGGTCTTATTTGTGACTATGGTTTGACGCTTGGTGATCTGATAGGTGTACTGGAGGATTTCTTCTCCAGGCTAGGTGCTAAACCAAAGCCATCAACTTTATTATAATATTTATGGATGCATGGTGATTTAATAATGCCACCTCTCCTTTTCTGGCTCTTAGGCATGTCAAAGCTGCGCTTCAAACCTGCCTACAATCCATACACTGAACCAAGCATGGAGATTTTCGGGTCAGAACAACTTTGATCGCTATTGTTTTCAAGGTTATTGTGATCCCATGAATCATCGTTATGTTATTTTTTTCCAGCTACCATGAAGATCTGAAGAAATGGGTGGAAATAGGCAACTCGGGCATGTTCAGACCTGAAATGTTACTTCCCATGGGACTGCCAGAGGGTGTTAATGTTATCGCATGGGGTCTTTCACTTGAAAGGTAAAACTGGCACAGTTTCTATACGAATGATTCCTTTATGTGCATCTCTATGTTAAATTGAGGTCTTTTTCACTTGAAAGGTAAAACTGGCACAGTTTCCATCAGTCGTGGAGACGAGCCTAGTAATAACAACCCTTGCAATTCATTCTTATGAAGTATAGAAAATCATCATAGGGCTAGGGCATCACAACTCAAGATAGCTTAGCCCTAGGCTTTACCCAATGCTAGCTCCGGCCCTGGTTTCCATATGAATGATCCCTTTATGTGCATCTATATATGTTAAACTGAAGTTTTTTTTTCTAAAATAATTAAATAAATCACCTTCGCAATCCTTGTTTTGCAACTAATGTATTGAATAGAAGTGCAAGAGAAATCTTTGCTTTATCTGTCGAATTGCAGGAGATGTGTGCTGACCACATTTTGGTGCTGAATGCAGGCCAACAATGATTCTGCGTGTTGAGATATGTATATTGCATGTATATTTCTTGTACCACAAGCCGTCCTCCTCCCTTGTATAGTTGAGGACGTGGCTACCCTTGTACCTATATATATACGTGCATATGCACCCGATCAATATATCGTGAGTTACATCAATCCTCTAATCTCCTACATGGTATCAGCCTAACTCGGTCTACCCTCGCGCGCCCTGCAACCCCAGCTGCCGCCGCGCCTTACCTCTTTCCGCCGCCGCTCTAGCTGCTGCTGCGCCTCTCCCCAGCGCGCCCTAGTCGCCGCCGCACCTCACGTTCCAACCTGCGCTGCTCCCTTGCTTCCAGCCACGCCCCACGCTGCTTTCGCATCTCCAGCCGAGCCGCCGTTTTCCTCAAAGCTGTGCGTAGCTTCTGCCCTAGCACCCAGCCGCGTGCTGCTTTCGCCTTCCAGCCGCGCCGCTCATCCATCGCTGCCATGTCTCACTCGAGCCTCTCCCACCGCAGCAACCCGTTCGCCTCTTCCTCCGAGGCCGGCTCTCTCCCCAACCCGGCGTACATCCGTGACGTTCCGATCTTCGATCGCGTTCCGATCAAGCTATCCCACACGGAGGCCAACTTCTATGCATGGAAAACCTATTTCAAACTCCTCTTCCGTGAGTACAACCTCCGTGACCACATCGACGGCACCACCGACTTCCTCACCATGCGTCGCGATGAGGATTGGATGGCGGTTGACGCCACCATCATCCGGTGGCTCTTCCTCACCGTGTCCAAGGACATCTTTCACACTGTTGTTCGCGACGGTGATGATGCCTACACGGTGTGGACGAAGATCGTCGGCCTCTTCACCGACAACAAGCTCCAACGGATCGTCTTCTTACAGCAGGAGTTTTTTGGTTGCCACCAAAACGACTCCTCCATCGACGCCTACTGCATGCGCCTCAAGACTCTCTCCGACGAGCTCAATGACGTTGGCTTCAAGGTTGGAGACGAGCTCCTCCTCTCCACCCTCACCGCCGGCCTCAACGAGGATCTCGGTAATGCCGCGTCCAATCTTACTCTTATGGCTAACCCTACTTATGAACGGGCGGTGGCCTACCTACGTCTTGAGGAGCGTCGCCTGAAGAACCTGCGGGCTCGTGCGGTTCATACCGCCTTCGCCGCCGGCTACTCCCACGGCGGGTCTACATCAACACCTCCCGCCAGGGGCCACGACGCCTCGCTGCCTCCGCAGCCTCGCCCACCGGTGCCTCCGGCAGCCGCAGGTGCAGGTGGCTACGGCACACCCTACGGCGCCTCCTACGGCTCCCATCCACCTCGGCCTCTGGCGCCGGTGCCCCCTCCCCAACAACAGCAGCAGCACCAGGGCGACCGGCGCGGCCGTGGTGGTCGTCGTGGCCGTGGAAACCGCAGCAACAACGGCGGTGGACAGCAGCGTGGTGGTGGCCAGCAACAGCACCTTCCCTTGCCACCATGGGGCACCGGCCACAATCCCTGGACCGGGGTTGTACACGCCTATACAATGCCGGTTCCCCGCGCTCCACTTCCAGGACTTCTCGGGCCTCGACCAGCGGCACACCAGGCCTTCTACGCGGCCCCCCAGCCCGGCGCTCCGACACCACCGCCTCCCCCCTACCCTGCACAGTTTGGCTATGGCGCACCAAATCCCAGTGGGGGGGTGACGGGGTTTGCTGGCTACCCCACGCCGCCGGTCTCCTACGACCCGGCTCTGCTCTCGGCGCTGCAATACACGCCTCAGCCCGGTTCTTACACCGGCGGTGGCGACTGGTTCATGGACACCGGTGCATCATCTCATATGGCAGCCTACCCGGGTAACCTCTCCTCCGCGTCTCCCGTTCACACATCTTCTCGTATCATCGTCGGTAACGGCGCTGGTCTTCCCATTACTCATGTCGGTTCTACTCCCTTTCCATCTACATCTAGGCCATTGTCTCTTAATAATGTGCTCGTGTCTCCTCAACTTATTCAGAACTTAGTCTCTGTTCGTAATCTTTCCCGTGATAATTTTGTAACTGTTGAATTTGACGAAGTTGGTTTCTCTGTTAAGGACGCCCGCACCCGGATGGTTCTTCACCGATGTGACAGTCCCGGCGACATGTACCCCGTCCAGCCTTCATCATCATCACACACTGGACCTCTCGCTCTTTCCGCCGGCATTGATCTTTGGCACGCCCGTCTCGGTCATCCTAGCACCACCGCACTTCGTCAAATAGTCAAGGGTTTTTCTTTTTCATGTAATAAAGCCGATGCTCATTCTTGTCAAGCATGTCGCATGGGCAAACATGTTAGACTCCCGTTTAGTTCTTCTTCGACAGTTGCTTCTTATCCTTTTGAATTAATTCATAGCGATGTGTGGACGTCACCTATCACAAGTAATTCTGGTTTTCTATACTATCTTGTTATTCTCGATGACTACTCTCATTTTGTGTGGACCTTTCCGCTTCGTCGGAAATCTGACGTTCCCGCCACCCTCCTCGCCTTTTTCTCCTATGTGTCTACACAGTTCGGTCGTCCCATCCATGCTCTACAAACCGACAACGGGAAGGAATTTGATAACCTCACTATCCGTACACTTCTCGCCAACCACGGCACCATCTTCCGGTTAACCTGTCCATACACCTCCCAGCAAAACGGTCGGGCCGAACGCGTTCTTCGCACTCTTAATGACTGCGTCCGCACTCTTCTGTTTCACGCCTACATGCCACCACGGTTTTGGCCGGATGCCCTTGCCACCGCCACCCTCCTTGTTAACCTACGTCCGTGTCGTGTCCGTTGGAACTACACCCCGCATCATCTTCTCTTTGGGTCTCCTCCATCCTACGACGGTCTTCGCATTTTCGGATGCCTCTGTTATCCTAGTGTCGCAGCCAACGCCCCTCATAAACTTGCCCCTCGCTCCTTACCTTGTGTCTTCCTCGGTTACCCGGCTAACACTAAAGGCTACCGATGTTATGATCCGGTGTCTCACCGTGTCATCACCTCTAGGCATGTTTATTTCGACGAGTGCTCTTTTCCTTTTGCACAGGAACAAATGGAGGTGCCAGGAGATGATCACCCCTTGGCTGGCTCTACTCATCAACGTGTTGCACTTGGACCTTTTCCTTTGGGTCGTGCACCGTTGGCCTCGCCAGCCCCTCTGCTGGCTTCGTTGGAGTCTTTGACGGCCTCGCCTGGCTCGTCGGCCACGCCGGGCTCTTCGCCAGCCTCGCCGGTCACCCCGGCCACGCCGGGCTCTTCGCCGGCCTCGCCTGGCTCGTCGGCCACGCCGGGCTCTTCGCTGGCCTCGCCGGTCACCCCGGCCACGCCGGGCTCTTCGCCGGCCTCGCCGGCCACCCCGGGCCCTTCGCTGGCAACGCCGGCGCCTTCACCAGCTTCGTCGGGGCAGTCGCCTAGCCCGGCCGTGCATGGCGCGCCCCCGGCACATGCTGCTTCTACGTCTACTACACCACCACCTGCTGGTCCTATCACTCGTGCACGCATGGGTGTTCATCGGCCGAGTCTCCGTTACTCTGCTGATGAGTATGCTTGTCCGGCGTCTACGGTGCCACTGTCGCCTCTTCCGACCTCCGCTCGTATGGCTCTTCGCGACCCGCTTTGGTATGCAGCGATGAAGGAGGAATTTGAGGCTCTACAGCGCAATGCGACTTGGCAGCTTGTTCCCCGCCCCCGGCACGCCAACATCATTACCGGGAAGTGGGTGTTCAAGCACAAGTTTCATCCCGATGGCACCCTCGACCGCTATAAAGCACGTTGGGTGGTCCGAGGTTTTCGACAGCGTGCTGGCGTTGACTTCACGGATACATTCGCACCGGTTGTCAAGCCCGGGACGATTCGCACTGTTCTTCAGCTCGCGGTATCTCGTGCCTGGCCGGTGCACCAGATGGACGTCTCCAACGCCTTCCTACATGGCCATCTTGAGGAGCAGGTCTATTGCCAGCAGCCTACGGGGTTCGTCGACGACACTCGTCCGGAGCATGTTTGCCTGCTTTCTCGCTCCTTGTACGGGCTCAAGCAGGCTCCCCGCGCTTGGTACCAGCGCATTGCAGCGTTTCTTCATCAACTCGGCTTCCGCTCCGCTCGCTCCGATGCTTCGCTGTTCATTTACCAACACGGGGATGCTACCGCCTACTTACTTCTTTATGTCGACGACATCATCATGACAGCTTGCTCTAGTGCTCTTCTTCGACAGCTTACTGATCGTCTTCGCGCTGAGTTTGCCATTAAGGACCTGGGTCCTCTGCACTATTTCCTCGGCATCGAGGTTGTTCGACGTGCGGATGGCTTCTTTCTTCATCAGCGGAAGTATGCTCATGAGCTTCTTGATCGCGCTGGGATGCTTAATTGCAAACCCGCGTCTACTCCTGTCGACACGAAGGCCAAGCTCTCTGCCACCGACGGATCACCTGCTCCGGATGCTTCGTTGTATCGGTCTATTGTGGGCTCCCTTCAGTATCTCACTCTGACACGCCCGGAGCTTCAGTACGCCGTTCAGCAGGTCTGCTTACACATGCATGCTCCTCGTGATGCTCATTGGACTGCGGTCAAGCGGGTCCTCCGCTACATCCGCGGCACCTTGGATTTCGGTTTGTCTCTTCATGCCTCTATGGCTCTGGACATCACTGCTTACTCGGATGCTGACTGGGCCGGCTGCCCTGACACGAGACGTTCCACCTCGGGCTATTGTGTTTATCTTGGACCATCGTTGATCTCTTGGTCGTCTAAGCGGCAGCCCACTGTTTCTCGCTCCAGTGCTGAAGCCGAGTATCGAGCAGTGGCTAATGTTGTTGCAGAGTGCTCCTGGCTTCGTCAGCTTCTTCTTGAGCTCTCTTGTCCTGTCGCCAAGGCCACCATTGTCTACTGCGACAACGTCTCCGCTGTGTACCTCTCCGCCAACCCAGTTCATCACCGCCGCACCAAACATATTGAGCTCGATATCCATTTTGTTCGGGAACAGGTGGCTCTTGGACACATCCGGGTTCTCCATGTCCCTACTTCCCAACAGTTTGCGGACATCATGACCAAAGGGTTGCCTACGGCGTCTTTCGAGGATTTTCGCTCCAGTCTCTGCGTCGGATGTCCCGATGCTTCGACTGCGGGGGGTGTTGAGATATGTATATTGCATGTATATTTCTTGTACCACAAGCCGTCCTCCTCCCTTGTATAGTTGAGGACGTGGCTACCCTTGTACCTATATATATACGTGCATATGCACCCGATCAATATATCGTGAGTTACATCAATCCTCTAATCTCCTACACTGCGTAACATTGACAACATACGGAAGCTCTTTGGGCCAAAGGTACTGTGCTTATTAACTTTGTCATATACCACGAGCATGTGCAATATTAATTATGATCTTTACAGGTCGACTTCAAAGTGATCAAGGACTGGCAGATTTGCCGCGCGGGGATCAGCTGTAGTGAGCCGGATAGGACTTTAGCTGGTGACTGACATGCCATGTTTGAGTTGATGAGCTGCTGGATGCGAATGGTGGTTCTTTGTGGCTGTTATGCCTTTGAAGACCAGTACTTGTGCATTTAACAGAGGGAGTGCAGAAACGCACATATGTTGTACTCCTAGCTCTGAATTGCAATTTTGAGGTGTTCATGTCCGATACTACTGATGCTTGTGTTCCCTTTAACAAAGGGCAGCACACACAACCCTCTACGGAAACGCATACGCACGGTTGGAAAAGAAAGTAATCAAGGGCTTCAGCCATAAATTTCCTAATATTTATCTCCCATGTCATTTTCAAGCCTGTCCTGTCTATTTCCAACCACGGCCAACTGTGCAGACTATTATAGAACATCATTGCAAGTTGGAGCGGGCTCTCCGGCATTTTATTCATTCAGCGGTAACCTGTCTGAGCTCAAGCTGAAGCCCAGAAAACCAGGGATTACATCAGAGTAGTTTACAACACTCTTGTAAAAGAGCTTCTTTTGCACAACAATGTGCTTGCATAATGGGAAACGTTTCGATCCGGTGCACCGGTCGAACTTCCCGCCGGACTCGTGCGCCACGCTGGCTCACGCGACACGAAAACAAACCACCCCGTGTGAAACACATGTATACGGTGGATCCCGCACGACTTTTCCTCCTTTTCTTCTACCTCCAGCCCATCACGGCCCTGCCCTTCGCACCTGCCCCACGCTGGTCGCATCCTTCAGAAACTCTCTCACCGGCGGCGAGTGCTCGTGTGCGACGACGCCCAACAACGCCTCTCCTTCATGGTCGGTGAGCCCCTCTCCTATCCTCCTCCCCAATTCGTATCCCCGGCTCCCCGCTAGCTTCCCACGACCATGGCCGTCTGACTTTCGGATCTCAGCCATGGCCTCCGCCCAACTACGGCTCCGAGTCGCCGCCGGCGAAGCTATGGGAACTATCAGGGCGCAGCAACCAGAGCTGCAAGCCTGCAACCACGGGCACACGCTAGACGGCGAGGATGGGGCGGCGCTGGTCCTAGCAAATCTAACGTCGTGGTTTTTTGCTACATGCTTCAACCGGCATAACATTTTGCTACAACTGGCATAGCATTTTGCTACAACCACGTCACATTTTGCTACAACACACAGCCAGTGTCACCTTTTTGCTACAAGTGTCGCAACCGTTACCTAGAATAGCTTCAACAATTGTTGAAAAAAGCTTCAACCATATATACAGAAAAGCTTCAATGGCACTGCACAACAAGGAAAAGCTGCAACCGTAGTTAAATTTTGCTACTACCGACGAAGTTTTTTGCTACATCGATCAAGGCGGAGCTGCGACCTCGCGACGGCGGCAATGGCGATTTTGCTGCAACCATGATAGGTTTTTGTTACTATCGTCGAAGGTTTTTGCTACAACCGCTGCGCCCCTGCGACTATGGCGGCGGCGCTTTTTGCTGCAACCGTAGTTGTTTTTTTGCTATTACTGTGAAGTTTTTTGCTACATCCATTCAAACAACGCTGATTAACTGGCGGTTCGTCGTCCATGCAATCCCCTGCAGCCAGCATCAACGACGAGGGCGGCGGCGGAGCTACAACCATCGCCGTCGAGAGCTGCAGCCGCAGGTAGAGCTGTTGCATGGGTCAAGGTGACGACGAGGCCGGTCGGGATGGTGGGGACCAGCGACGAGGACGGCCGGCGAGGGCGGGGACCGGCGATGAGGAAGGCCGGTGAGGGGTGGGGCCCGGCGACGAGGATGGCCACCGAAGGGGGCAGGAGGCACCGCGTCGCGCTCCCCCGAGCGAGAGATGCGGATCTAGTCTGACCACGCGAGGAAGAAGCTGTTGGGGCAGTTTGTTTCTTTTTTTTTTGACCAGATCCAAAGGCTGCGCGACTCACATCCAACGGCTGGGGCTCGACCGGCCGAACGATTCGGTCGGCGCACCGGCGCCTATTGGTGCCCTTACATAATTAATAGAACGACTGACATGATGAAGCTCAAATCCCTGACTGGACACTGGAACTGTATATTCTTCCATATCCTTGAAGATATGACACCCATTAGATTTCCCCTCAGATCGCCTATCCTAGAGCTGTTTTGCGACGTGAGCCCTGTTTCTCGTGCCAGCAACATACCATCACGGCAAGCCAAAATCTCCAGAGTTAGGGCATCAACAGTGTGTAGAGGCAGCATTGCCTTTAACATGGGTCCCACACAACTGGCTCTAGCACTAAAATCCCTATAGTGTGTAGCACAACACTTAGGGCCTGTTCGGTAACTCCCTGGCTCCAGGAAATTCTCAAATCCAACTTCTGTTTTCGATCGCCAGCTTCTTCCACGAATCGGGATCGATGGAAAACCGTTCGGCTTGATCACTTCGGCTTCTCGTCACGCTAGCAGGCCAGCCTGCCTGAGCGGGCTAGAGCCCAATCGGCTCAACGGGTAGGATCGGTGTGAAACAGGACGAGAGAGGACGTGAGGCACCTCGCGGTGGCATCCGATTGTAAATAACGCTAACTCCAGGAATCCAGTTTCTGGGATCGACAAAACTGCGGCTCCAAGTTTTTGTACGTCAATGTTGCTTCGATCTGGGAAGCCAGCTTCCTGGAGTTGGGCCGTTCGGGCCAGCTTCCCTCACAGATTCGTGGAAGCTGGGAGCTGGCGAGCTACCGAACATGCCCTTAGCCTTTAAGGTGCCCCCCATAACAGAATTTAAATAAAGTTTCTGCGTAACTGCTTCTGGCGGCCACACACAACTTCACTGACAAGGGGGGCATTTGGATTGTTTAATTAATGGAGGCTGCCTCTAACGTTGGAGACTTGGAGGCGAGTCTAACATATTTTTGGCTAGAGGCGATGGATACAATGTAGGCCGCCTATATGTGGAGAGAGAGTCCTTAGAAGCAGCATATTAGGAGATACTATACCTTCATATCTCATACCGTTGATCGATCGAATTTTTATCATGATACAACACCAGCAGCAACTACAAAAGTTGAGATGCATAGCCCGCACAGCGCACGCGGGATGATGCATACATATATATTTGCATTTGCCGTTTGCACCCAAGTGGCCATTTTACAGCCAAAGTTGCCGTGTTTTCCTTGCAGACTCTATATGTTCCAGCACCGACTTTAGCGGTTCTCCCTATAACTAGTTTCGGCAAGCCTCGGTTCAGTCCGTCCAGCAAGACGCACGCTTTGCATAATTTCTACAAAGCCAGGATTTTCAACCAATATTGAGCCACTAAAACAATTGGAAAAGTTTAGAGGTAACTAGACCAGGGCAAATACTTTGATAAAAAAAATGGCCAACATGTGAGCTCACTGTGTTTAGTGGTGTATAATTTCGAGAATATACTTGTCATTGTATAAGCAATTTATCAGCTTATTTTTAACTGTCATAGCAAAAGAATCATTAACGTGGTTATCTTGAGTCAAGAGAGATTCTAGAGACCCTCCGTCCTTTAATATAAGGTGTATAGATTTTTGGGGAAAATCCAAAATATAAGGTGCATTGCGTTGCATCACTCGTTTGGATAATTTTTTTAGAGATTTGATTACATTTACTTATATTATGAAAGCTCCTCTATTCTATCATGTCAACTAGCCACGTGTAATCTCGCCCAAAACTTGTGAATTTTTTCCTCCACGCGCGTCTTTAATTTCCATGCCAAAAATTATACACCATATAGTTAGGAATGGAGTTGACCATTTCGAAGCGCCGGTACCAATCAACAGCTCCAAGAAGGAACGCGACGATGACGCCGCTGCTGCCAAGGGTTTCCCCCGGTACGCGACGAGGAGAGAGGAAGGGTACCTCCGACGCCCTCCAGGAAGGTTCGGCGACACCCTCAGGCACCACCGCGTCGGAGTCGGCTCGGCCGACAGGGATTTCTCCCAATCCCAACCTTCACCTCGGGTGCTCCGGAGCATGCCACCAAACAAACCACCACTCTGCGCCAAAACGGTCTTGAAGCTTCCGCGCCGTCTCACCACGGCACCGCGAAAGGGGCCTGCACAACAAAGAAGAGGAGCCAGGACTCGCGACAGCAGCATCATCGGCACACGGGAGGGCACAACCTCCACCGTCAACGACGGTAACCGACCGGACATGACAGCAGGAGCATACCGGTCCCGTGGGCCCATAGGTCCGTCCGGGTCCTCAGATGCCCGTAAAGCTCCCGCCTTCACGCTGCAGAAGGCATGCCGTCGGCGCCACCACCTTGAGTCCGAGCCGCACCTCCTCCGCGCCATGCAGAGGACGTCGAAGCCACGCCAATGGCCAGCCCGCTAGGACCCAGATGGGGCCGGGAGGGCCTAGATCTAGGCCGGGGCGCGCCGCCGGCCACCGCACGCCACCACGCCGCCCTGCCGCCAAGGGCAGCATCGCCACCGCGCCCACCGCCGGGTCGCCGCCCAGCCAAGCAGCACCGCCGCCGTCACCTGCCCCAGGAAGGAGACGAGCGCGCGGGGATAGAAGGGCCCGCCGCCGCCGGCACCACCCGGTCCAGCGCCGGGGGCACCCGCCGGCGGCGACGGGGGAGGTGGGGGCCGAGAGGAAGGGGAGGGGCGCGCCGCCCCGGCCATCTCCCGGGGAGGCGGCGCAGGGACGGGAACGGGAGGGAGGGGGAAGAGGGGGGCGGGATGGGCCGGGGCGCACGCGCCGGCGACGGGAGGGGGCTAGGGCGCCACCGGCGGCGGCGAAACCCTAGCGGGAGGGAGCGGGTCGGGAGGGAGGGAGTTTTGCTTTGTTTGGAGCACAAGGTGATCTAATCACTACAAACTGCGCTGTTGGTCGTGTTACACAATCATAATGTTGGTCAACCATCCGAACCGAGATTCCTGTTATTCATACGAAGGAACAAGAAAAGAAGAAGTATGGGATAAATGGTTTTTGAGTTGGGCATGATGAAAGCAGGACGGACCAACTACCTCCACAACTATAAAGGCTTCCTGGCAAAAAAAATTGGAACAATTACACTGAACAGCAGATCTCTGTGGGTGCCAACTTCTACTATTTTCAGGTACAAGCAATAGAGCATGCACCATTGGCTCTACTTCCAACGGTCAATCAACCATTAGTGGCAGATATTGCACAATCTTCTTCTGTTCAATCCCAACACCAGACGAAAGGTTAACAACAGTCCGTTGCAACTGCGCCATTTGCTGGCC